AGGCAGTCGCTTAACCAACTGAGCCACCCAGGCGCCCCCTTTATAATTCTTTATAATGAAAATAAATGATCTTCCTTCTGCACCCCCTGCCTCATCCTGAAGAAGGAAATTCCCAGTTCCGTCTTCAGTCTCTTTGTGGCTGATTTCCATAAAACGTCCCATCGCTGTGGATTTCAGAAGCAGCTGGCTGACCACACTCCTTGAGTCCCCTGGGGCCGGCCCCTCCCTCCCTCCCTCCCGAGTCTGCCGGGGCGCTGTTTGTTTCCCCATCAGCCCATTGTGGCCATCTCCGTGTATCCTTGGTGACCTTGTGTGTGCTTCTGGCCCACACATACCCCCCACACCTAAGATACAACCAAGGGGACGTGAAGGCACATGCCTGGAAGAGGCTGACCGGTCACGCAGAGCAAGGTGGTGGTTTGGACTGGGGCCTTGGAATGCCTCACCAGCGTCCTTGCAGCCTGGCTGGAACCGTCCTGGACCCTGCAGCCTGGAGCCACAGGAGGCTGTCCCTGACAGGGCCCCACGGGGCCCTGAGGCTCTGCCCCCCTCCCTGCACGAGAGGCACCTTCTGCGCTTGTGCTCAGAGCACATGTGAGCGTTTACTCCCCGTCTCATGGGTCACAGCTCTTTTCGCAAGCACTGTTGTCCTGAGGAAGAGTGATTTCCCTGCTGCTTTTCAGTTCTCCCCACCTGCTCGTGCTGGCTGGTGGAGTGGGAAAGGGAGGTGCTGTTCCCATCAGAAGGGCCCCAAACAGTCCCTTCTGATTTCTGTTCCGTTCATGTGGCTGATAGGGGGGGTCTGCCCCACTTGGGTCCAGTCCCTCACCGGTGTCTGTGGTCAGGAGGAGCGGGAGCCTGAGTCAGAGGCTATAACCCGACCCCTGCAAGATGCTGTAACTTATTTATGTCACTGTGACTGCTAGGAGGGATTGCTTCTGCACCCTTTCTCAGTTTGGAAAATGCATTGTTTAAAAAAAAAAAAAAATCTTTTCAGTGGCTTTTCTAAAAACATGGGTTCGACTAGCTTTCTAATCACTGCAACAAGAATAATAGCTTGCTACTCCAATCAGTGGGAACTTGTACTGGACTCTTGTGATCTTGAATTATTCTAACAGATTAAAGTCAAATTTTTCTTTTACCGTGCAAGTAGTACAAGTCAAACCTGTTATGAAGTCAAAAGACAGATTTTTTTAATTGCTCTATGTAATTGGTGTTATGTTTGAAAAGTTAAGTGCCGATGCTTATTTTATTTATTGGTGTTGATGTAGTGGATTTGACCTTTATTTAGATGGGGGCCTGGGAAGGTTTCCATGGTCCCCTGGCCCCTCGCCTGGGTCGCAGCAGCCCCGTGCGCGGTCATCGAGTCTCCGTACACGTGAGAGCGATGCCTTGCCAGCGCACACCACCCTCGGGCTTGCCGGGTGCTGGCCTGTGTGTGGGGAGGGGGTGGTCGGCCGCCTGGTTCGTGGAGCCCCCAGCCGATGTGATCTCCCAGAAGGTGATCTTTGCTTCTCACAAGGGGTTATTCTTAGGTTGGTTCAACTAATTTCAGGAAACATTTTACTCAAATTCTGTGTTCTTTTCAAGCCAATGATGGAAACTGGCCGACATTGAAACAAAATTCCAACTCTTCAGTGAAGCCCACTGGTGTGGACTGGAAGGACTCAAGCATGGAGGGTCCTCTCAAGCAGGGGACCGTCTCCAGCCAGCCAACGCCCTTGTCAACTTTAGGAGCCACGGAGAAGCTGGTAGGCCATTTATCTTTATCACAAAACACCAACAAGATCCTCACTGTGTCACTGTTGAGCCTTCATTTTCATGTAAGGGGTGAGAGGTTTCATGAGGCAAATTCATCCTGTGAGTGTCTAAGTATGACCAAGTCTGAAGACGTTCATGGACCCCAAGCCCCTGAGCGGCACGCCGGTGTAAATGTGTCAGAGTTGATCTGCTGCCGGTGGGCAACGGGCCTGCCACCTTTGATTCCCACAGCGTGTCCTGTGCCTGGCCACGTGCTGATTGGAAGGATTACAAGTCCTACTTTGTATTCTCTTGTGACTATGAATAGAAATATGCTTAACTTTTCAAAGGGTGACTTTTTCTTCTTAACATCTAAATTTAGGGCGTGGAGATGGGTAAAGTGCCACCCCCCATCCCTGGTGTCGGCAAGCAGCTGCCTCCGAGCTACGGCACGTACCCAAGTCCTGCACCCGTGGGCCCGGGCTCCACAAACTCCCTGGAGAGGAGGAAGGAAGGCAGCTTGCCCAGGCCGAGCGCCGGCCTGCCCAGTCGGCAGAAACCTACCCCACTGCCCCCCACGGCCAGCAGCCACCCGCCAGGTTCCTCACAGCAGATTCAGCAGAGGATTTCTGTGCCTCCAAGTCCCACGTACCCACCAGCAGGGCCCCCTGCATTCCCAGCTGGAGATAGCAAACCTGAACTCCCGCTGACTGTGGCCATTAGGCCCTTTCTGGCTGATAAAGGGTCGAGGCCACAGTCCCCCAGGAAAGGACCCCAGACAGTGAATTCAAGTTCCATATACTCCATGTACCTCCAGCAAGCCGCACCTCCTAAGAATTACCAGCCAGCAGTGCACAGCACCTTAAATAAGTCTGTTAAAGCAGGTATGGTGGGTTCGTACTCTTGTCTTGGGGCTACCAAATTATACTTTTACTTAAAATGCCAATCTGTAGCCTTCTATGTGGACCACGCACTATTTAATTTAGGATTAAAACTTTGATTCTTACGTACAGTGTGGCCTTAGATGTCCACATGGGATTGGGGTAAAAGGTGACATGCATGGAGCGGTTTTGCAGCAGGCTCACATAGGAAGCTCTCCCTTCCTGTCTAAGCACCTGCCTCCCCGTGGTACTTGGGAAGCCCAGCTCCCAGAATTTCCTCTTTTTCTCCTGCTTTGCGGAAACGTATGCAGAAGCTTTCCAAGGGCAGGGCTCTGCCCGGATGTGGTCCTCCTGGCCACCTGGCAGAGGCTGAGCCAAGCCCCTGGACGGGAGGCAAGGGTGTGTCTGGTGCTGGGGTAGCCTACCCCCGTGCCCGCAGGGGAGAAGAGCCCTGGCGTGGTGAGGGGTAATGAGCCCTAGGAGCCGACATGTCCTGGGGATGCAGGTGAGAGAACAGAGCTTGGGCTCATACATCCGGGGCAGGTAATGACTGTGACCTGCACAGCAGGGTCCTGTGGGTCAGAGCTGGGCTAGGGCCTCCTCACACATTCTTGGGTGTGCGCCACAGCTTCCAGACTCCTGGGAGTGCCCAGCCACCCCGAGCCCCAGCGGAAGCTCCCTGCTCACCCTGTGGCAGGGCTCTGGCCCCGTTCTCGACAGCTCCTGGGCCGGCGGGCAGAGCCTTCCTGTCTGAGGCGGCCTATGTTCCACAGCGCGAGACTGAGCCTGAGGGTCAGATGCTATTTAGAGATGGTGTCTTCCTCCTTGGCCAGAAAACAAGGAGGGTTTGTTTGGGGTGGGGAGGTCGGGTCTGTAACCACTTTTTTTTTTTTTTCATTTGAAAAAGCCCAGACTCTGGAAGTCCAAATGTAAAAACCGGTGAGAGAGACACTCTGTCTTCCAAAGGGAGTCAGCAGGGAGGGGGCGTCTTTTATCAGAGGGCTCCTGGGGGTTTGAAGAGTCGTCCTCAGCCACAGCCGTGCAGTGACAGGACTCCGTTGCCCCCCGTCCTCTGTGTCTCCTCCAGTGTACGGCAAACCCGTGTTGCCCTCCGGCTCAACGTCCCCGTCGCCGCTGCCGTTTCTTCACGGGGCGCTGGCCCCAAGCACGTCGCAGCCCCAGCCACCTTCAGAAAGCACCGAGAAAGAGCCCGAGCAGGACAGCCCAGCCGCCCCCGGAGACGGCGGCACCAGCTCGGGCACCGTGGAGAGCCTGCCGCGGCCGCTCAGCCCCACCAAGCTCACACCCATCGTGCACTCGCCGCTGCGCTACCAGAGTGACGCCGACCTAGAGGCCCTGCGCCGGAAGCTGGCCAACGCGCCGCGGCCCCTGAAGAAGCGCAGCTCCATCACGGAGCCCGAGGGCCCCGGCGGGCCCAACATCCAGAAGCTGCTGTACCAGCGCTTCAACACCCTGGCGGGGGGCATGGAGGGCACCCCTTTCTACCAGCCCAGCCCTTCACAGGACTTCATGGGCACGCTGGCCGACGTGGACAATGGAAACACCACCAACGGGAACCTGGGAGAGGCCAGCCCTGCCCGGCCCACAGCCCCGCTCCCCACTGAGCCTGCCCCGTCTTCGGACGCCAATGACAACGAGCTCCCTTCCCCTGAACCGGAGGGCCTCATCTGTCCCCAGAGCACCCACCCAACAGCTGAGCCTGCCGAGGATGACAACAACAACGTGGCCACAGCCCCATCCACAGAGCAGGTCCCCAGCCCTGGGGCCGAGGCCCCCTCACCAGGGGAAGACCAAGCCCCCCCAGCACTGCCCCCCGCTGTGCCCCCACCAGGAGCCTCTACGGTGGGTGTCGTCCTAGACCAGGGCCACAGCTTCCGAGGCAGCCAGCCAGTATTTGTAGAGTACCTGCCTGTGTCAGCCACAGTGCTGGGGGCGGTGGGGCTTGCCTGGCCCTCGTCCCTGCCGCCCCTGAGGCCGAGGGGAGGAGAGCATGGCAGTACACAGATGGGGCTCTAGAGAAGTGCCTGGGGCCGCGGAGCTTTCACCGAGGACCCAGTCAGATTCCCCCAGGAAGGGAAGCTGCGCTGGAATTTGAAGGGCAGGCCACGAGAGGAACCTTGTAGACAGGCCCCTCTGGTGGGAGGTCAGTGTTGGAGCAGAGGGGAAAGTGGGAGTCTGCTGTAGTTGGTAGGAATGAGTTGCTGACTCCCGAGCTTGGCTGTCACCCACTTCCCTCCCCACCACGGGTGCTCTGACGAGCCAGGGCCCAGCCCCTGAGCCGCTCTCCCCCAGGGCGCGCTGGCGGGGCCCTGCGAGTGGACATTCCTCTTGATGCCAGGGGCTGCTCAGCATGGCTGGGTGCACGCATTAGCTCCAGCTTCCGTCCCTGTCCCTCCTTCCCACCAGGGCTGGGTGCGTTGGCACATGACCTTTAAATCAAAAGTGTGCTTCCTTCTCGGCAGAGCAAACGGACCAACCTGAAGAAACCGAACTCAGAGCGGACGGGGCACGGGCTGAGAGTCCGGTTCAATCCCCTGGCACTGCTCCTAGACGCTTCTCTGGAGGGAGAGTTCGACCTGGTGCAAAGGATCATCTATGAGGTGAGCTGAGCTGCAGCCGCAGGCCGGGGCTGCCCTGTGTGCTGGGAGGTGGGGTTCACAAGCGCCCTGTGTCCTTAGGTGGAAGACCCTAGCAAGCCCAACGACGAAGGGATCACCCCCCTACACAACGCCGTCTGCGCCGGCCACCACCACATCGTGAAGTTCCTGCTGGACTTCGGGGTCAATGTGAACGCCGCCGACAGCGACGGCTGGTGAGGGTCCCCGGGGCACTCGGTCTACAGGAGGAGGCGGCCCCGAGCCGTCAGGACCCGGGGAGGCGCAGAGGCAGGAAAGCATGGGCTTGCGCAGCACCTTACCCGAGGCTGCCTTGTCCGGCCGCCCGGACCAGCTCTCCGGGTTCTCTGGGGGAAGGCACAGCTCTCGTCGTGCTTTGCATGTACCTGATTATTAATGGTGTGGGCTGCGCATTTGGCAAATTTTTACTCTTTGGTTTTATTTTATATATTTTTAAAGATTTTATTTATTAAAGAGAGCACAAGCTGGGGGGGGGCAGAGGGAGAGGGAGAAGCAGACTCCCCGCTGAGCAGGGAGCCCGATGCGGGGCTCGATCCCGGGACCCCGGGATCATGACCTGAGCCGAAGGCAGACACTTAACTGACTGAGCTGCCCAGGTGCCCCTCTTCGCCTGGTTTTAAATGGTCTGGTGACCGGTATGGAAAGGAAGCTCAGAGTCCTGCTTTAGTTGGACATTTGTGTGGCTGCCTGGAGGGCCCTCCTGCTGCTGGGCAGGCCCCTGGGTCTCCTGCAGATTTTGTTGTGAACTTCAGGCACCTGTCTGTGGGGTTTGAACATCTGGGTCTTTTAAATTGTGGCAAAATATGCGTAACTTACGCCTTCCGCCGCTGCCCCGCGGGGACCCATGCAGCGTCACGCCGTGCGTTCCTGCTGTCGCGGGGCGCACTGTGGGCTGCTGCTCAGGCCCCTCGGAGCCCCGGCCCGTTCAGCAGTGCGTGTGTGGTCTGAGACACTGGGTGAGGAGAAACCAGGCCATTAAAAAGACCAAGCCCGAAGCCCGTGGGGCCCCCCGGCCGGCCTGGGCAGTGCCTCGCGGCACGCTCACCCGCCCTCCGTTGCAGGACACCGCTGCACTGCGCCGCCTCTTGCAACAGCGTCCACCTCTGCAAACAGCTGGTGGAGAGCGGCGCCGCCATTTTTGCCTCCACCATCAGTGACATTGAAACTGCGGCGGACAAGTGTGAGGAGATGGAGGAAGGCTACATCCAGTGCTCCCAATTCCTGTACGGTACGTGGGCGCGCGGGCGGCCCGAGCCGCAGGTCCCTCCCCCGGGCACGGCGCGGATGTGTGCGTGGGGCTGCCGGCGCAGGGAGAAGCCTGCTTCTGCTTGGGGAGCAGCGCCCCCAGCCCCGGTCTCATCAGAATGGAGGTCACGCTGTCCCTTACGCTCATTCCTAAAAACATGTTTGAAAATCCGTGTTATCAGAAAGATTCTTGCCAAATTTCTAAAAACAAACTTCTCTTTGTGTCAACGGGCCCCCTGGGTGGAGCAGCTGGGGGGCGTAGGGGGCTGGGCGGCAGCCGTCTGTCCATTTCTGGGGCGCACCAGGGCTTGAAGCACAGCCGAGGGTGCTCCAGGGTGGGAGCCCCCCATCCCCGTCCTGTGGTGACCATCGATGAGGAGTGCGCTGCTTGAGGAGTGAGGCTCGTTCTGGTTTAATTAAGGCACTTGCATGGGATCAGACTTTGGGAGCTGGAACAGCACCTCTGCCCCAGGGGTTAAACAGCTGCGGGTCGTCTGCGCCACACCTAACTCTGCCCAGCCCTGCCCTTGACCCTGGGGATGCCATGACAAATGGAAGTAGGCCCCAGGCTCCCCGAGGCCACAGTCACAGTGACAGCCATGCCAGGAGGAGGGTGGCGGGAAGTAGCCAGGCCATCGCCCACCCCC